GAGTGTAAGGATAGATTTGTGGAAGTAATATTAGAAGTTCATTATTTCATCAAATTTTCGGTAATATATTTCAACTATATTTCTCATATATTGATTAAAAGGTAAATTAATTAAATGACGAAAAAAAAATTCGCGAAAAAAAAAATTTTTTAATATAGACAATATTATAAAAATGAGTATATGGAAATCAGAAAATATAAAGAATAAAGTAGTACAATTCCGAACACGAATAATTTTGTTTTTTATACTCTTAAAAAGAGTAAACATATAATTTCAATAAATATGAAAATTATTTCTATATTTTAATATACAGAAATTATAATAACAAGCATGATAAATATCATAAAAAAATTATTTAGTATACATCTTGGAAATTATAATGTAATCACTTATAATCTTGAGTTTAACATAATTATTTTATTAACTAAATTTTATTTTCACGATATATTAATTTATTCTGATATCTTAAGATATATAATGTCTTGAAAAAAAAAATATATTTCTTAATACTATTATGTTTTACAATTATTCTTCCAATGTAGCAAAATATAAAATTATTGAGATCCATCGAAATATACATTAATGTAAGGTATCTTTTTTCCGAGAGAATATTTCCCAAGTTTAAAAATTAAAATATTTGGACTTATCTTTATCATTTAATTTATCTATTCTTTTTTAATACAGGGAGGGACGAGGGACGAAGATGGTTGAGACATGAATAAGATTTTTTGTGTAAATACAAATCAATGTTAATAGATGTATTTATTGTTAGTGACAGGTAAGAGTTGTCTGATCACATCTTATATAATTCTGATTTTGCGATAATTGTTTTTATAGTTACCGGAACAACTATAAAAACAATTATCACAAAATTAAATTGTGAATACCATTAATTACGCAATGCGTTGTTTGAGTTCACGAAATAATCAAATTTTCTGCGAATAAAAATGTGAAGCCATCGAAATTTTCTGTAAACTTGTACACACACACACAGTTCGGAGAAGAGATGTTATTTAAGGTGTAAGTGAGCAATATCACTGATACTATTTGTTGGACGTTGAACGATTATAGAAATAATTACCGCAAGATTACAATTAGGGCGTGTATAGACACTCTTAACTATCATTCGGTATATTGTTTAACATACTATAATAGTGTAATATCCAAGAAGACATATATTTGTCGTGCATTCCGCAGGAGAAAAACTTTATTCATAATATATCCTATCAACACATAAAATGAAACTGTAAAGTTTTTTTATGTCATGAATTCTTCGTGAATACAATGACGAAAGAAATTAATAATTTAAAAAAAGCAAAAAATAAATTTAAAATTATCTATTTTCAAATGATTAATTCAAATTATTTCAAGTTTAGAGAATTTATGTGTATTTTTTTGAATGAGTGCCTGTGTGTAAAATATTTCAATATTCTCAGATAATTCCATTATAGCGGTTAATTTTCTTGCAGCTATAATTTTCCCTCTCGTGTTTTTCAACAAGTTTATGTAGTGCTACGCATACGGCACGTTCAACTAACCATAAGTACGTATTGCTAAAACAGCTTGACTGCAAAGGATGATGGCAAAGGAACTCATCATACTAAGAAACCTTAATAAAAACTTCATAACCAACGCTATTTCATAGGTATGAATCTCATATCAATAATGTTGTTATAAGTCATCATCGGATGCGTTACAAATCTTGATGATGATTGCGGTTTTTTGATGTTATTGTACGTACTTGAAAAAAAAAAAGAATTTATAATAATATAAAAGATTTGTTCTATATTGAAATACATTTATTTGTAATCACGTGTTGATTGACTTAAAAAAAATCGACTAATATAAGTTATAAACTGTAATTGTGCTTTTTTTATCTATCGCCTATTGATGCATATTTAATGCATATTTTTGCATGATTTTTCATGAAAGGTGCACTGCCACAGATAGATAATTCATTGTGTTGGAATCTGAAAAGCTTGCGCCGATTTTTGGTGAACAGCCTAGCATTGTAAAATTATTTTGAGAGAGACGTACATTCAATCGCTATAATTATTTGTTGTTAATTAAGAGTTTCTATTATCACATATTTGGGAGAACATCGCGTGTCATAAGGATAAATTAGTAGAAGTGATATTAAAAGTATTTTAACTTAGTAAATTTTTTAAGTTTGATACTATATTGATACTATATTGATACTATATTGTAACCATGTTCTTTTATTTATTAATAAGTTATGTAAATTAGATAAAAATTAGAACTTCTTAAATATAGAAAATGCTAAAAACGAATATATGAAAATCAGAACATTTTATTGCATACATTTTCAATAATTATTTGATGAACCATAATTCTAAGTATCTAATTCTAATATTATAATTGATTTTGTCAAATCTTGATTTAGAGGATATTTTCTATCTTGTTTTATATAATATATATTTTCTAAATTTTTAAATCTATTATGGTTTTTTGTTGTTAATATTTGTGAAAGATTTAAATATACTGAAATATACTTGAAAGTTTTTATTACCTGTAACATTAGAATATTTATTTTTATCTATAACATATAAATATTTATTTAAAAAAAATAATAACTATGTTTTTAATAGGTAACATAAAATTGATAACTTTTTGTGGGATTATTAAGACTTGTAAAATATAGAAATATGTACACTGTAAAAAATAAAATGTTAATTTTAACTTTTATTTCTATATCTTTTTTGCCTTTTTGATGTTTTTTGAATAAAATATATGCATTACTTACATCGCCAAATCGTTGTAATAAACATTTGAAATAATTTTCCTTTAATACGTTATTTGTTGATTGTGCAATTATTATTATAACGAGTCCAAGTGCAGTTTTAAGTTTTGTGATGTAGATTATACCAATCGATTATATATTCCCCAATATGTTTGCACTAATTTATAAAGTCAAATATATATATATAAATATATTTATATTTATATATTACTTATTACATACTAATTATTATAAATATAAATAATTAATAATTATTAAGAGCAAATTATGCTTTGGTACTTTTGTATAACATATGAATTTGTTTTATGAAGTTAAGTCAAGGTTCATTGAGTTATATCGAGAAACATAAAACATTATTCCATTCTTGATTTATATATTTGTTTCGTGTTATCTTTCCGATATAACAAAATATAAAAATATCGAAACGCATTGATATATATTAACATAAGATGTTATTTTTGTTGCATCAAAATCTTCCCAAGCCTAAAAAGTTATAACTAATAACATTTATTTTTATATAAAGACACATGATTAATTAGTCCGAAATCTATTTTTTCAATAATATAACGACATTTGAATATTTATATAAGTAATTACTGATATATTTAATAAAATGTGATTTTTTTTTTTTAATGTTTAGCATACCATAATTAAGTAGTATTCAAATAAGCATATTTACATCCCATCAATTCCACAAAAGAGAGATTTTATTCATAATACTTTCTATGCATACTATAAAACTGAAATGTACATAATAATAATCATTAAACGTAAAAGAAATTTTCTTCCGAGAAAGGATGTTTGCATATAAGTAGAATACTTACGTTTGAATAGAAATAGAATATGACGAATGAATATTTACATAACGATACTTTCTTAATAATTTCAAAAATTTATTAATATTTATTTTAACAATAACGTCTCTTTTTTCAATATTGTTATATATAAAATGTACATTGTCTGAAATATTCTGATAAATATGTTTTCTATTTACGTACCTAAATACTCGGAGATGATACTCCAAAATAATATTTAGTTTTTGTTTGTTATATAATTTCTCTTCTGATTTTCTACGAGTTTAGTAGGCATATATATAGCATGTTTAGTTGATTACAGGCGTGCATTACGAAAACGGCAGCTAGGTTGCAAGCACCGACAGTAGATGAACTCACTATAAATGTTGCATAGAAATTGCAATCAATATGATTTTATTTACAGGACTGAAACTTATATCAATGATTTTGATGTAAATCGGACATGTCATCGAATGCATCCTAAAAGTCTTATTACCAACAACAATGATGGGTATGAATGAAATTTTGAATTTCGCCTTGGCTATGTTATATTAAATAGGAATACACTGCCAGGCATAATTATCTCACAGATCCCGGCGATGAAACGATTTAATTTAACATATTTGGCAACCATGCACCATTATTTGGCAATTTTCGAGCCTGTGTATAATTTTCCAATCTGTCTCCATTAATTTACAAGCATTGCTACTACATTTAAGAAGCATCCAATGATTTACCGAAATAGCAATGGCGTTCAGTTTTAATTTGATATTGGCCTTCTCGAATAATGATATCGTTATTAATGCCACCACGATCACATAAATGAAAATGTGTATAACACAAGTATCTTGCGCGCTATGCTTGAGTTGTTTATGTGTGGCCAAGCATTGATCGGCTTGAGGAATCATCCAGTTGAAAACTGTAATCATAATTTTTTAAGCTAGTGATTCTGGACATACATCGAGACATAGGTCGAAACTTTGTCATATGAATGCACCCGACGTACTGTGGACAATGTACTTGCAAAAATTTTATTTGAATAGGCACATGCGCCAACTTCTGGCAAAGTTTGGAGAAAGTTCATATTGACATATTTTTTTCTGAGAGGAACTGTACAATCAATAACTTCACAGCAAGTTATTTGTTCTGCCAATTTAACAGGAGGAATATTATTCAGACAAGTGTGTGAAAATTTGTGGAAGTATGAATTTTGTAAAGTATTGAATTTTAATTACTTAATTTTAAGTAATTAATCGAATCGTCGAAAAATTCCCACTAAACTTTTGAAAAATTTAAAAATCTGATGTACATATTATAAACATTACTTATATTTAGATAATGTTAATATCCTACCTGGAAAATATTTCATCTATTCTATATAAAAATTTGTCCAACTTCCTAATTTGCTACATATTTCTAATTAACTACATTGCTCTCTACAAGTTTTATGTCATTGTTCGTAAAATATTTAAATAAGCCATGGAAGTTTTAATTACCTAAAATAGCAAAATTTTTGTTTCTATTAACAATGTACGATTTCATGTATAAAATTTTGCATTACAACATTTCGGTCAAATATAATTAATATAATTAAAATAAATATTAAATAAAATTTAAATTTTATATTTATTAAATCTGAGATTAATATTATAAGGAATTTAATTGATATATTACTTACATCGCCAAAAGTTGCAATAGACAAATGAACTAATTTTCCTGCAGTTATTTTGATTACGTTAGTTGATCGCATTATTATTAAAATAAGACAAAGAGCTGTTCTGTGTGGTAATTGATACCAATTAATCATGTATACCACGTTCCCGACATTTTTACACTAATAAAAAAATATAAATATTTTTAAATTCATTATAAATATAAATATCTACATTTCTGCAGAAAGTATCAAAAAAGCAGCTAATTATATAAATATAATTATTTTTGTTTTTATTTTCTATATTTTATAAACGGATTGAATAGATTTCACATTTCTAAAAAAATTATTTTAATCTTGAAAGATGTATTACTTGCTCTGTCAAAATCTCGCCGATATAGCAAAAAATAAATATATTAAATCCCATTGAAGTATATAAAGTAATATATGACAATATTTTTGCTGCATCGAAAGCACCCCAATTCTGAAATATTAATTTTACAAATTTATTCATAAATAATAAAATTTACAACTCTATTATTATTACTATACTAAAATTTAACAACTCTATTATTATTACTATATATTATTATATTATTAATAATTGCATTTGATTCTTTATAATTAAAGAGATGTAAAACAGCGTTTTTAATAATGTATTTCTTTTAATATACCATATCATACCATAATCGAGTAATATCCAAGTAAACACATATTTAGCGTGCAGCCCATCAATATTACAAGACAAACTTTATGCATAATACTTTCCACACGTGCTATAAAACTGTAATATATTTGTATAATTGCGGAATGTTTAAGTGCGAACTCTTCATTAACAAAAATTTTTTTGCAAAATTTTGTCGAGCATATATTTACATCGTATTAATGACAATATTTATTTATTATGAAATGTTGATATAGAAAAAAATAAATATCTATCTCTTAAAATTGTGCCTTTAATATTTGTTAAAGCAAAATATTATACATCCAAGAAATATAGCTCTCATAGAAATAATAAAGTACCTTAATGCTCTCAAGTGATGCTCCACAATAGCAGCCAATTTTTGCTCAACTGATTGATTTCCCTTTTCTTCGTAATCAATTACAAGTTCGTTTAACCACGCATACAATACGTTGAGTTGGCCGCAGGCATGCATCGCGAAAACTCCGGCGAGACTGCAAACACTTACTATTGCGGAACTTACTACAAATGCCGACACGAATTGTATAGTCAGCATGATTTCGTTTATAGGACTGAATCTCGTATCGAGAATCTTACTGTATGTCGGACATGTCATTGGACGCGTTTTAAAAGTCTCATTCCCGACCATGATGGTCGTAGTCTTTATTGCTCTTGCGGTGCCGAAGAGCAGCTGACCGCCCTGCGTGATCGCCGCACTAATTCCGGCAAGAAAACGTCCGAACTTAACGTATTGTAGCATCGTTTCACGATCTTCGATTCTTTGTATAAGCTGCCAATCCATCTCCATGTGCTGTATGCAATTGTGAATATCATGGCTGCGCTTGAGCAACGTCCAATAGCTTATCGAACCCATAATCCTATGAAATAATGGCCCAAAGGCGCCTATCTTTGCTATGATAGTCTGATTCTCCAATATTATATACAGTATACATGGCACCGTAACGATTGCTATTGTAAGTGAACAAAAGATGATTAGTACTATCGCAGCAATTTTCTCTAATGTACTCGACGTGTTTGTTATGGGCCAAGCACCTATCGGTTTTAAGCACCATTGATTAATTTGCAGACTATAATTATTAATGTGTTTGAAATCAACGTTTTTCAAGTCATGTTTCAAATTCATCATGTTCACTTCGTAAATTAGCTTGGCGCACTGCCAGGGTGGACAATGGTTCTAGCAAGGATTTTATTTGAATAAGCGCGTGCGCCAACTTCTAAAGTTTGATGAACTCTTACATTAGTACTTTTTTATTGAGAGTATCGCGTGCATATCAAATCGATTTTTTTCCTAGCAGGTGTTTTGTCTTGTCAGTTTCGCAAAAGGTCGCATTTGAAGAGGAATATGAAAATACTTTTATGGCTATGCATACAAATTTTATAAGGTATTGAGTTTTTACTTCTTTAGTTTCAAGAGAACTGTCAAGGATATTATTTTTGCTTTTAAGAACCGTATCACAGAAAACCCTTTTGTATCATAATTATTAGTTTATTTTACATTTCTATCTAGAAAATAATTTATGTGTGTCTTATAACTTGTTGTTTCTCTACGCTTTATACAGTCATGTTTGTTCTCAAAAAATTTAAATATGCTGTGGAAGTTTTTATTATCTGTAATAACAAGATTTCTCGTTTTTGTTAGAATAATAAATAATAGAATAATAAATAATGTATAACTGTTGATTATATTGTTAATATTTGCTTTGATATGGTATATGTAAAATTAAATAATCAAATCATTACGTAGAATAATTATAACAATACATGCATAACAAGAAAATAAATTATATTAAAATTTTATTTAATGCTATTAATAACTATATTATAATGTATTACTTACATCGCCAAATGTTGCTATGGATAACCGAAATATTTTTCCTGCTGTTATCTTAATGACATAATTGGATTGCATGAATATCAAAGTGAGTTTAAGTGCTGTTTTGTGATGCAGTTTATACCAATTGGTCATATATGCTATTTCCCCGATATTTTTGCACTAATAAATAAATAAATTTATAAATTTTTTGAAGTGTCAAACATTTAACAATGATGATAAAGAAATATTAAAGAATAATTTAAATATGTGTGAACACAATTATATTATTTTTTTCTTAAATATAATAATAAAATATAAATAATCAAATATTCAATATTTTTATACTTATATAATTAGATAACATTATATTATATTTTGTATACAATCAAAATGAGAAAAGTTTCAAACGTCTAAAAAATCTTTTTAATTTTGAAATATTACCTGTTCCGTGAGAACTTCACCGATGTAACAAAATATAAATATATTAAACGTATATGATATATAAAAACTTATACATGCAAATATTTTTGCTGCATCGAAATTAGCCCAATTCTGCAAAATCAATTGACCGTTTTATTTATTACAGAAAAATAAGATTATCTATTTTTGCAGCATTTCAATTACATCATTTGTAATATGCAAAGAAATTTTATTTATTTTTAGCGTACCAAAATAGAGTAATATCCAAGTAAACACATACTCAGCGTGCATCCCATTAATTCTCCTAAACAAGCTTTATGCATAATATTCTCTATTTGTACAACAAAGCTGAAACATATGTAGTTAAAATGTATTCAAGTAGGGTATTTTCTTTCGTGAAATTCACTTTAAATTAGTATTCATGAGTTCAATGACTTTGACCTTTTCTTTAATTATATTGTTTATAATAAATTGTAATTTATGAAAATTGTTTATAACAAATATTTTTTACAACTTTACATAAGTTTAAGTTGCATAATTTTTTTCCTCGAATTTTGACTTTCAAAATGAAAAATGAATCGTTCCATTACGTTGACTTTTAAAGTTAAAAAAAACATTAATTTAAAGTACTGGATTTGAAAATCTAGTTAAGAAAATTTCAGAGTAAATATTTTCGATTAAAGTTAACACTCAATGAAAAGAAACTTGTAATCGATATTTAAGATCTAAGTGAATTAACAAAAAAACACAACCAAGTATACCCCTTCCAATTTTAAGTTTTGTTATCTTCGTTGTTTATGTTAAAATATAAACAAAAATAAAAGATGGGTATTTTTTAATAATTTCTTTTTTGCACATTAAAGGAATATAACTTTACCTTGAAAAAATTTAATATTCACTTAGAAAGAAAAAAAATTTTTTTTCTTTCTGAGTGAATATTAAACAGTTGAAAATATAAACAAATTTTAAATAAAAGTTGAATGATTTTAAGAGTACTTCATATTTTTAATAATCATTTTTTAATTTTTAATTTGTTAATAAATAAAGTTTTTTATAAAGAATTTTTTATCATTATTATAAAGTACATCATTATTATAAAATAGAAAATCTTATTTTTATCTCTATATTTTAACATAATCAAAGCTTATTACAACCGGAAGATGACACTTGGTTCACGGAGAGAGTTTATCCTAAAAATATTATTTAGTCGTGGGACATTATATTTCAAAGAATTTTATGTAAGTCTATCTCATTCACTAATAAAACAATAAGGTATAAAATAAATTTTTACTGCAGTGCATGGTGAAAATCTTTAAAATATTATATTGTACTACAATCTATCATATTCAAGATAAATTTTAAGATATATAATATTTTTCCGTATTATGTTCCCTTTTAAACAAAATACCTGAGGACTCTCCAGTGATGCTCCACAATAACAGCAAGTTTTTGTTCTGCTAAATGATATGTCTTCTCCTCAGCAAGTTCTTTTAGCCATGTATGCAATACGTTCAGTTGACCGCAGGCGTGCATTGCAAAAACGGCGGCAAGACTGCATATAGCTACTGTAGAGGAACTCACTATAAGTGTCGACAACAATTGCACACTCAGCAGAATCTCGTTCGTAGGGCTGAATCTTATGTCAACGATTTTGCTGTGTGGTGGACATGTCATCGGATATATCTTAAAAGTTTCATTACCGATAATAACAGTCGTAGTTTTCATTGCTTTGACTGCGATGGCAAAGATCGCACTACTATGCATAAATATTGCGCAAAATTTGGTTATGAAACGGCCAATTTTGGCATATCGCAACATAACTTCGCGGTCGTCCATTTTTCGAACGAGTTTCCAATCTGTCTCCATATGTAGTATGCAATGTTGAATATCTTTGTTATGCGTAAGTAATTGCCAGTAATTTATAGATCCCATGATTCTGTGCATCAACGGAACGATAGCATTTATTCTAATACCAAATTTTTTTTTTTCAAAGCATACGTATAATGTACATGGTATCATAATGACTGCCACCACGATTGAAAAAATAAAGATTTGCATTGACACCACAATTTGTTTTATTTTGCTCGCGCTTCTTTGCGGCCAAACACCGAGTGATATAAGAAACCATCGATTAAATTGTATACTGTAATCATTGACATTTTTGAAATTTATTAGGATGCGTTTCAGATCGCTCATGATCGTTTCACAAAAGCGACCTATGTATTACTGCAATAATCGTATAGAAATGTATCTAGAGACATATCCGAAAATACGCTTGCGCCAACGTTTAGGAAAGTTCGCGCTGTACAACACATCGGTAGCGTTGAGAAGAGCGCACGCGTGTCCAATCGATAATCGTTCCTCACACGAAGCCTATTTGTCAGTTTGACAGAAGACTGCGTTCTGTGAGGAATATGAAGATACTTTTTCGAAAGTAACAACGAATTTTTTATTTTTCGTCATCTTGTATCGTTTGGAATTTACTAGGTAAAGCAATTAAAACATTAATATATTAACACTCCAAAAAAATTTTAGGCATAATGCTCAATATAAATGAATGAAAGGCATTTAAAGTGGAAACTCTTACATATAGCTACATTATACATATAAAAGGAAAGTATTAAGAATGTATTAGAGGGATACATATATATACATATATATATATATATATAAAGGTATAGTCTCTGCAAAAAGCGACTAGAATTGAAAATTGATACTTTCCGTATATAAATAAATAAATGAATATGTACATATGTATATATATGTATATGTGTGCGTGTGCGTGCGTGCGTGCGTGCGTGCGTGCGTGCGTGCGTGCGTGTGTGTGTGTGTGTGTGTGTGTGTGTGTGTGTGTGTGTGTGTGTGTGTGGTGTGGTGTGTGTGCATATACACACGAAACAGTTCAGAAAGACTAATATATTTATATTCGATAATACAATTTTACATTTTGAATAAAATCTCGTTTTATGTTATTAATTTATTTACAAACCTATCTATTTCTTATTGAAATAGTTTATGATCCAGTTTCTAAATTATTGTCACTTATTTTATATTACTTTCAAATGTAATATATAGAAAAATCTGTCTTTCTTTCCATAATTTTTTCATTTTATCAAAAAATTGTTGTAATCCTTCATTCTATTTCATTTTCCTTTATTTTGTTTAACGATAAAAAATAAAAATTACTACTAAAAGAAATGTCAATTTTTCAATAATAATTTTTACATCTTGTTTTTAGGATTTAAATGTGATATAGATAATAGATGTCTTGTATTTTATTAGTAATACAATTATTCAAATATAATATGAAATTATAATGGTAACTAGAAAATTTGCTAACGCTTTGTACAAAATGGTATAAATCTTATTATCTAAGAACCTGTCATAGTTCGGAGCATGTTTAGATATATCATGGAGGTTCTCATTACCTAAAACATTTTGGAAATGTATTTGGCTGCAAAAACATAATATACTTTCATTAACATACACTCACATCACCAAAAGTTGCGATGGAAAGATGGAATAGTTTCCCTGCAGTTAATTTGATTACACTACTCGATCGGGAGATAATTAAGACCAGACCTCGAGCCGTTTTATGTGGCAAACGATACCAATTAGTCATGTAAGCTATTTCTCCTATTTGTTTACACTATTAAATTATTTTATAATGTGGAAAAGTTGTGATAATATATTTACCACTTTTTTATTTATAAAACTCGAAAAGTATATACAATTATATGTATATACAGGATAAGTCAAAAGTCCCGGATCGATGAAATATTTCGAAAACTAAGCATTTCCGAAAGAAATTTCTTTTCTTTTCTACAAAAGTTTTCTACAAAAGTTTTCTATAAAAGTTGTTGTACGGTTTTAAATGATCTATATACTGATTTTATTAGTTTGACTTTAGATAGAGTTGCCAAGATTAGGTCAAAATCACATTAATTTAAAAAAAAAAACACGCTATTTTTGTGCGTATGTGATTTCAGAATCTAATAACTGATGTTGAGAGCTTTCCAAAACTATAATAAAATTATTTTTTATTGAGTACTTTTCCAGTTACAAGGTTTAAAAGTTATAGTACCGCCGGCATTAGCATTACGCAAGGCCGACCGACGACTAAAACCTTTTGAATATTGTTCAGAATCATGTCCTGGATAATATTTGTTAAGATGAAGGCCATTGGAGATTACTCCTCTTACTTTCATTTTTGCATTAAAAATTCATTTTTATGTAAAAATAAAAATAAGTAGTACAGTCGGTCGGACATCTAATGCAGGCGGTACTATAACCTTCGAGCCTTACAAATCGAAAAGTATTTTATGAAAAATAACTTTATTGTAGTGTTTTGAAAAGCTTTTGACCAGCTATTAAATTCTGAAATCAAAAATAGGGTGTGCCATTAAAAAAAAATCGATGTGATCTTGATTTGATTTCGTCGACGCCACTCAATGTCAGACTGACCAGATCAGTGAATAGATGACATTATGTAATTACTTAAAACTTTACTTTTCTAGGAAACATTTCTTTCAGAAATGTTTAGTCTTCGAATATTGTACCGGTGCGGGACTTCTTACTTGTTCTATATATTTGTATATTATACCATAAAATTTTTATTTTATAATTTATTTTTTACCTGTTCTCTTACTGTTTCGCCAATATAACAGAATATAAAAATGTTGAAAGTCATGGATATATATATAATAATTATACAGGCTATTGTCATTTTTGTCTCTATTGTATTCCATCCCTGAAAGTTTATCATAATGTATTATGACAATTTATGATGCAATTTATATATATATATAATTATTATTAAAAGTATTATTATATGTTAAATATTTCTAAAAAATAATATAAGAACGCAATGCCACAGTACATCCAGTATGACAGTAAACGAAGATCGTGGGCCAAAATCTAATCAGCGTATACAAAAATCATCGTGTGACAGCGTTATTTGTTGTTCAAATCATAGCCATAGGTCTGATTTATATTTATACATTCGAGAGTATCATTTATTCTTGTTCAACATTATAAAAAACAAGAATGAAATAATTTTAATACTGATGATGATCATCTTATAAAAATAATATATGATATTGTCTTTTTAATTCTGTTCAAGTGCGTTTCAAGACTGAAAAATGTCAACTCACAAAGAATGTTTACAGAACTTTCAATATAAATTCACACTGAAATATTTGTGCATTAAAATTTACTTTGACTTTGAAAAGATTTTCTCTTACTTGATTAGATTTATTTCCTATCTAATCTAATTTCAAATTACAATTATTAATACTTACCTTCTGAAATTTAACTTTCCTTCTACCAAAGATATGACGATACTCATATGATTCTCAAAGTCATGTGATTCTCAAATCATAACATGTGCTTGCTGTCACTTGGTTGTATTGTGGCAATTTTTCCTCTGCGATAGTTATTTCTTGTTTATGCATTTTTCATTTTGCAATTTATTTAAGTATGAAAAGTCACATACATGTGTCTTAATTACATATTTATTTTTTAATTTTTTAGCGTACCGTAATGATATAATATCCGAGCATACATAAGTTAAACGTACATCCTAGCAATTCTACAAAACATATCTGATTTAAAAGTGCTTCCATTTGTGCCACGAAACTGTAAGCAACGTAAATTACAATCATATTTTACATTTAAATAATATAAACTTTTTTTAGAACTAAATTATAATATATTAAGAGAAGGAAAAAGAGAATCAGATAAGACAGTTTTGGCTTAAAGATCAAAGGCATCAAAATATAAAAGATTTAATTTTTTATACATCAAGCAGAAAAAATCAATTTTTAATTTATCGATATTACCTTAACACTCTCAGATGATGCTCCACAATGATTGTCAATCGATGCTGTACCATATCCTGCTGCTTTCGATCGTCCAGCTGATTCAGCAATCTCATCAGTATATTCAACTGGCCACATGCGTGCATTGCAAACACCGCTGCGAGACTACAGGCTCCGGCGGTGACGGAATTAACGACGATGCTCGAAATGAGCTGCACGGTAAACGCAATTTCGCCCGCTGGGCTCTTTGTAATATCTATGAACTTGTTGTACGTGGGACACGGTAATACATGTATTGATACGCTCACATTTCCGATATATATAAATGTAGGCATAATGCCCTGCATCACGCTATGCGAGAACACACCGCCATGCATGAAAATTGCGCACAACCCAGCGACAAAACGGCCAAATTTGGCATATTTCAGCATCACTTGCCGATCTTCTATATCTGTCATCATAAGCCAATCGATCCTCACGTGCTCCACGCAACGGTATATATCACGGCTGCGAAACAGCAGTGAGAAGTAATTCATGCCACCCATGCACCAGTGACTTAACGGACCAATAGCTCTTAATTTTTTCTGCACATCAGTTTCTTCGAATAGGATGTTCAGAATGCAAGGTATGACCGTGTAGGCTATCAGCGAGTAGCAGATGATTATCAGTACTGTTGAAATCACTTTTTCTTTGATGGTCGTCGAGGCTGAACTTGGCCAAGCGCCTACTGATTTTAGAAACCAACGATTCAACTGAATACTGTAATCACTCGCGTCCAAGTGTGACATGACACGTTCATTGACATTCATGATTACTCACAGAACGTGCGGATGCTACTGAATCGACTTAAACATGCGCGCAGAAAGCGGCGCCTGCGCCAGGGAGTAACAGTAATAGGTAATAGGATATTTGTGCGTTCTTATTAGTCGATCAATACTCACGGTGTACGATGCGTGATATCTCGTTAACGATTTGCTATAACATATATTCGCAAAGATATAAATTTAATGTTTTTCAAATATGAAACTTTTATATACATAAAATTCAGATAAATATGTAAACTTTATTATACAAATAGTTACGTATATAAACTTCATTATTGTGTTTCGTTATCTTTCAGGAATATTAAACAAAAAGAAATTACTTTTTTGTAGAAAAATACACGTAATCTCAAGAAGATACTATTTTTATAATCTCATCTCTCTTTTATAATCTCATCTCTCTTCGTAAGAAATATTAACTTTAAGAAATATTTAACTTTTTAAGTTGAGAATAATTTATTTTTTTTTACATAAATACATTTTAAAATTACAATCACCAAAGTGCGATTGACAATTGCAATAATTTCCAATGATAGTCTCTCGATAATGTTACTTTATCGAGCTGTTATTCATAGAATGATAATGACAATTTTAATGCATTCCAATTAGTCATATGTCTTTTTGCCAACTTTTTTACACTACTAATAAATTAATTAATGTAGATATTCGTAGGTTCGTAAAATTTCTAAAATTTCTAAATAAGCGTTTTTTATATTTTTAGAAATGGAAGAAAAAAATTAAAAAACAATTCATGTCACAACTCAAGTCATTAAATTATTTTTTTTAACATAAAATAATTAAAGCTCGATTACAACGTTACTTTGATTTTAAATCAGACTTAAAATTCTTTCTGTCTCTTTTTGACTTTAAAACGAGACAGATAAGGTTTTAAGTTGGGCCTAAATCCATAATGCTTAAGTATGAGGCATCAAATGATTTGCGGCTCGGTGCGATTGATTCACTATCTGTAAAGATGGAATCACAAGGCTCGAATTCATTTCTTGAATGATAACACGGATAGTCATGCCTACTTTGCTGTATGCTAAAATTCGTTAATGTATTAAGCGTTGCATGTACATGATTTTTATATTGATTATGGATTACTTCATAGCTTATTTCCTTGCATGCATCCATCAAAATGCTAAATCCAACAATTGCTAATTTCATAGTTATTTGTCAAACGTCAAACTGTATGCATCAAATCAAGCATAGCAACATACATGCTTACGTTGCTTATATCATTCAAGAAGTCGAGTATCATATGATTCCTTAAATCTGAGTTAAAGATCCATATACGCGTTTTTTCGTGTTTGAAGAGCTCAAATGGTAATTAAGAGACTTTTGATCACCAATTTGACAATTAAATTGTAGATCCTTTTCAGATTGGAGATTAAACATTACGCTAACAATCTAATTAAAAAAAAATTCATTGTCACTAACATATCATTAGAGTCCCTATACTCGCAGGAGTTAAGGAACTTACGTACATTCTTAAGTATAATAATTCGGGTAATTCTAGTTCTTATAAATTTCCTGAGGAATTACCTGTCACGTAAGAATCGCGTCATTGTAACAAAATATAAAAATATTGAGCCATAGATGCATTTATGATAATATACGATATCATTCGTGCTGAAAAGTCACACCATTCTGGAAAAATCTGAAATTAATATTAATATTTTATAAATAAGGACGTTACAAAGTGTTAATAATACATTCATATTTTTAGCATATCATAATAAATATACAAGTAAACTATATATGTTTCTATAATCATAAGAATCATAGTAAATTTATATAGATATATTTATAATTTTATATTTATTGTGACACAGATGATGATCATATTAAAGATCAAACATTCGTTTTATCATTTCTTACAGTAAATATCGATATAACATCGAAAACAAGCTCGATTAAAATTTATTTATTGTTTGAATTTATATCATTAGATCCTTATAGTTTGCTTCAATTTAATTTTTAGTAATTTTTATTTATTTATATTATTTTCTCGGGATATAGAAATACATTACATATTCTTGGTGACCTATATTTTATTAATAATTCATATCGTTTATTTATACATAGTATATAAATATATAGTAATAACTGGAAAATTTGCGTTATACAAAAAAATGGTGTAACTATTATTGTCTAAGAAGCTGTCATAGTTGTCGAAGCATGTATAGATATATCATGGAGGATCTTATCACCTAAAACATTTTAAACATATATATGGTTGTAAAACATAATATACATATGCCGACTACTTGTGGGGGGGGGGGGCAAACCCAAGGGGCACTTTTTGTTCCTCCAATAATTTTACAGGTTACAATGCTTCCTCAATAATTTGTATCTTTTGGTTTTTTAACAAAAGGTTTTCTTAACAATTGCAATTAATTTCTGTAACCAAAAGAGAGAAAAGCCACATACGCCATACATAACGTTGACGCGGCGAATTAAAAGTGACATTCTGCTATCCTAGGAGTGCTTTCCAACAAGAGGCGGTGTAACGACACAGTGTAACACAGTTCATTATATCATTCTATTCTTGTTGCTCGCTAATGTTAAACAAAGATGAGATGATTATTGTATTATACTAAGTCGCTTGTTGAAGCGTGTTCTAATTCCCATCAAAGTATTCCTCGGGTGTCATGTCTTTATTTAACATTTGTTAGACAGCAAAGATGACGTGATACCCGAGATACTCAGATGATAATCCGAACATGCTACTGGAAGGAACTGTATGTGCAGGGACACTACATAGAAGAAATGGCGTTCTGTCAGGAATATGAAGATACTTTTCTGAAAGTGACAACGAATTTTTTATTTTTCGTCATCTTGTATCGTTTGGAATTTACTAGATAAAGCAATTAAAACATGATATACTAACACTTCAAAAAAATTTTAGGCATAATGCTCAATATAAATGAATGAAAGGCATTTAAAGTGGAAATTCTCACATATATATATATTATAACACATAATAGGAAAGCATTAAGGATGTATCAGAGGGATATCTACATATAGATATTGACTATACTTATATGTAGGTATAGTCTCTGCAAAAGGCAACTAGAATTGATAATTGATAAATAAAAAGCTCAGTCAACTAATGCTCAGTAAACTAAATTGATATAATATATTAAAGGGCTCAGAGCACAAGCAGGATGTACTTTGCTAATATATATTGTGAATTACAAAAATATTATATTTAACAAAACAATATACATACGTTTCAACCTTACAGGTCATTTTCAATGTTAAAACTGTTCATATTAAAATAATGACATAAAAATTCTAGAAATATCTAATGCATTACATATAAAAACCTCAATATTTGAAACAAATTGTATAATTCGACAATCTTGATATGGTAAGAAGTAATAGAATCTCCTCTTACATCTATCCATTCAGGAGTGCATCTTATCTCGATAAAAAGTATGCGTTAGAAATGTATAATTTATCATGGTATATGGTTGTTGGATCTCTTATTGAAGGCCTTAAGCTATACTTGTCCATCAATTCGTGATGAAATATTGCTATGTAAAGTAATAATTGAAACTAAAGAGTGTTTAGCGCAAATTAAAATGTCACAATTCGTATCATATCTGTATTATTACCAACAAACATGATCAGAATTACAGCACATAATAGTGTATAAAATAAGCAGCTAAGACCAGAACTCCAAAGGTATAAAATTTGTCATATACTTCCGTATCTTTTGAAAAGTCTTATTTCTAACTGATACAATATCAAGCAACAAAAAAATCATGTAATGTGAGGTGTGAAAATTGATACTTTCCGTATAAAAATTAAAAAAATGAATATGTACATATATATATATATATATA